TCTCTCTCTCTCTCTCTCTCTCTCTCTCTCTCTCTCTCTCTCTCTCTCTCACACACACACACACACACACACACACACTGGAATTCAAGGTCACAATTTCACAAGTACAGGCCAAGAAGGCCACAGAGTAAGGAACTTGGGAGAGCTACATGCACGTGCGGACAAAAGAAAGAGCGTCTGTAGACAGGCACAGAAGGAAGGCACCGTGGAAAAAGCCTCAAATTGCTCCTCGCAGGCTTACGTATGAATGAGCAGCTTCAAGTCCTGTTTGAATCCAACCAGAGTGCAACTGTGTCAAGCAAAGGGTGATCCCACTCCAGGACAACAGTGACAGGGACTGTAGCCATAAAGTGTCACTAAGCACCAGCAGCCAGGGAGATGCTGTAGGGTGACATAAGCCTCCCTGGACCACCAGGCTCCACATCTCAATGACGCAGCCTGCTTATGGACACAGAGTAGTGCCGAGTGATTTCAGAGGACTAGAAGTATGCAAGAATATAAGCGGAGGTAGCAACAAATGGAGGTGCTATTGTTTCAGTTTCTTATATTCCAATTATGTAACCCCTAGTTGAAAAGAAGGAAGAAGGGGGAGGGGAGGAGGGACGGATGGAAGGAGGGAGTCGGGGACCAACCAACTAGTTCCAGTGAATACAGAATACTCTCCAGACACTGACAGCAAACTTAATCCAAAAATTTAGTTGATGCCTTACACCACTTTGTGAAATTTAAAAATAATTGCCACTAGAGGCATCCAGGGTTTTATTTTCAACAATGACTTATAAGCTCAGTCTTCATATACACTATAAAATTAAAATAGAGTTGTATTGGGGTACAAATGAAGGTAATGCTTATTGTCTTGTTTCCAAACTATCTTCAATGTTGTTATCATGGCCTCACTAAATAATAATAATAACAACAACAATGGAGATTGAAGTGTAGAAAAACAGAGATTCACATTAAAGGAGCATCCCTCAGAAAAGATACTCCTGGGTTACAGTGGTACTCAGGGATAAGAGGGACAGAGGGCCTGGGAGCTGAAATGCAGCTCCTCAGTCCTGTATTAAAAGCCAGAAAGCACATCCCTGGAGCTCCATCCTGGCAAGCAGACACAAGTGGATCCCAGGCCAGGCCTTCAGTCATTGGCTCTGGCTGGCTGGGCAGCAGGCTCTAGGTCAGTGAGAGACCACATCTTGGGGGGAGCACAGTGATAAGCAGCAAAGGCAACAACACCTGAGGTCCTCCTCTGCCCTCCAAGCACAGAGGAGTATGTGCGAGCACACACACACACACACACACACACACACACACACACACACACACACTCAACTGAGCTGTGAAACCATTCTGAAATACACATTTTGGTGTGTATACCTGATATTCAGCAAGCTGTTAACAACCTGTTTATTTGGCTGTTTTGTCCACACCAGGATTTTTTGTCTTACTAAATGTACTTCCTTAATTACATCTGGCTATGGACAGTAGTAAGAGTTATTTTCTTGTCCCTGAACATGTTAATTGATGAACCAAGAGAAAATGACATATGATAAAACTCGCCACCCTGGAGACCAAATCTTATAATGAATGAGGGTCAGATGGAGAACACAGCTGCTCTTCAGTAAGTACTTAGGAGTCCTTGCTGAATGCTGGCTTTTGCTCATCAAAACAAAACAAACACACACACAGAAAAACAACAGTCCCTTGACGGCGGGGGTACATAAGCAGACAACAATGAAAAGCCTCAGCATCAGTACAGAAGGAGTGTCAACACACCCTCTGCTCAGAGCCCCTTCAAGGACTGGCAGTGTCTTCCGTATCGTCTGTATAAAATTTATCCAAAATCCAGTCAGCTGAAGGCAGGGGCTCAAACAGACCCGGACAGCGGTTTCATAATGTAAAATGCCACAATGGTCCACAAACATGAAACGTGTTGGGTGTTAACACAAGGAAATGGCAGTAAGCTGTGAAAGGAGGAATGAAGCGCTGACACATGCTACAACACGAGAAGACACAAGTCTGTGTCCTTCCATACGTGAAGGACTTGAAGGAGGGCTGCACAGAGACAGAAAGGAGCATGGAGGTGACCAGGCTAGAGGATGAAGAGGCCCTGCAGATGAGAAGGAAAGTGACTGCCCCACACTGTGCTGAACTAGAGCCTTCAGAAGAGCACACTCTACGCTGTGTATATTGTACCATTTTTTTTTAACCCTGAAATTAAGCCAGGTATGGTGGCACACCCCTTTAATCCCAGCTCTTGCTAGGCAAAGGCAGGCAGATCTCTGAGTTGAGACTAGCCTGGTCTACAGAATGAGTTTCAGGACAGCCAGGGCGACCCAGAGAAACCCCTTAAAGAACAAAAGAAATTAAAAACTAAATTTACAAAAGAAGAAAGAAAAACAGATTTTAAAAACCTAAATTTAAAATAAAACAAAACAAAGAAAAGCCCAGACAAGGACCACCTAAGCCTCCTCCAGCTGCCTTGGCTCTTTCTTAGTTCCCACCCACCTCCAGTGGAGCCTCTGTAAGACACCCCCAACCAGGGTGACTTCAATTATGTCCTTTACAAACAAGGAAAGCAAAAGCCCGGAATTCCTCATTGTCTGCTGTTCCACCCACTTCTGCTCAGCCTGCACTTCCAGGAAGCCACCAGTGCGGATCCAAATTCTTTTAACCCCCAGCTGAAGGACAGGCTGAAGCGCCAGGCCCTGGTGCCCCAGAGTGACCAACTGCTTGCTACTCACAATGCCTGACTTGACAGTTTAGGACGTGTATTGACAGTATATAACATATCAGTTACATGGATGAAGTATGTGCTATGGAAATACACACACACACACACACACACACACACTCAAGAGAGAAACAGCTGAAGGCTCACGATTAACAAAAACTGTAAGGGGTGTCTCACTGGGAGATCTGTTGGATTTAATGTG